CTTTATGAAGATGTCTTATCTATAGCCCTTAGTTCCCATAACGCAGCATCTCATCAATGTATTTCTCTTCTTAATTGAGTATTTCTGCTGAAAATTTTTCAGTTTAGGCATTTTTATGGCAAATATAAGTAAATAAGAAATGCCTGAGAATAGTTCTTATTTTTAATATTTTTATGATGATTTATTGAAATAGTAGTTTTATAATATTCAAATATAAATAGGTCTGTCTTGGAGAGGGTGAAGCCAAGTTTCTCCTTGGAGGCAAGGATTTTGAAGTTCCGTCTCACCTACTTTGGGCACATGACCAGGAAGGACCAATCCTTGTAGAAGGATATCATGCTTGGAAGCATGGAAGGACAGTGCAGGAGAGGAAGACCCTGGATGAGATGAATTGATACAGTAATTTTGGCAATGCGGGTAGTTGTGTTGGAGTCAGTGAGACTGGCTCAAAACAGGGCAGGCTTCAGAGCTGTTGTACTATTGTACCAGCAACTCACTACCACCACCACAACAAACAATATTTTAGGTTCAGGGTTCCTTCTTTAACTATGTTAAGGATTTTACCTTATTGTCATCTCATAGCCAGTATAGCTATTGAGAAAAATTTGGCTGTGTGGTTCTTGCTCCTTTGTACATCAATCTGGGGCTAATGAAGGAAAAAGTTATGACCATGAGATAACTATTTAATGGGACTGATGCAGTGACAGCCACATGTGGTCCTCCTGCTCCCTCAACAGAGGATCTATCAGACATACTAGAAAGGGAAAGGGATGTGGAAGACCCCAGATATGAGGAAGAGGGAGGTATGGAAGCATCCATATCTCTAGGTGATACCTTCCTGCAGGAAGATGGGCAGTCTCTGGGTCAGAGAACTCCAAAGGCACTTTAGAGTCCTTATATAAACTAATAGGATTTTGTTTTACTTGTGGCTAGAAAAGGATGAGTGAAGAAGACAAAGATCCTCAACCAGGTGGGCTGCCATAGTGCCTACAATGGAATGAAGCACAGTAGCAGTTGTGAGGATGGTACAGGACTGAGCACTGTTTGTTTCCATTACACACAGGGTTACTCCAGCTGTAACTGCTGATATCAGGTATACGTTCTCTGAGTATATAAAGCCAACTCTAAATGGCTCAAATGGGATGTGTATCAATTCAAGTGTGGTGCCAGCAGACTGTTTTGGGCTTTTAGACCTCAGGTTGTATGAAGAAATAAACCACTGGGGATTAACCTTTGACTCAATATATAACAATGACATGTTCCTTTTCTTTGGATAATCTGAATATCTGATTTTCTGAAGTTTTCCTATCGTATATTATATACTGTCACGTATTTAGAATAGACTTTTTCTTCTCTATTTACATTAACCCTTTAAGCCATTTGTCTTAAAATTGGGGTGTGGGAATTTCTTCATTATTTAATAATATTCAATTTTTCCGTCTTTCCTCTTA